GGCATGTTGGAAGCTGAGACAGGCCAAAAGCTAGGCTCTCTGCACCAAACATTTAGCCAAGTTGTAAATGCAAAGGAAAGGTTCTTGAGGGAAATTAAAAGTGCTAGGCCAGTGAACATACAAATGATAAGAAAGCAAAACAGCCTTATTGCTGACATGGAGAAAGATGTAGTGGTCTGGATCAAGATCTAACCAGCCACGAGTCTCCCTTAAGCCAAAGCCAAGCCCCTACTCTCTATGCCATGAAGGCTGAGAGAGGTGAGGAAACTGCAGAAGAAAAGTTGGAAGCTAGCAGAGGTTGGTTCACGAGGCTTAAGGAAAAAAGCGGTCTCTACAACATAAAAGTGCAAGGTGAAGCAGTAAGTGCTGATGTAGAAACTGCAGCAAGTTATCCAGAAGATCTAGCTAAGATAATTCATGGAAGTGGCTACACCAAAGCAGCATATTTTCAATGTAGATTAAACAGGCTTCTACTGGAAGATGCTAGTTTTGTAGCTAAAGGGGAGAAGTCAATGCCTGGCTTCAAAGCTTCAAGGGACAGGCTGACTCTCTTGCTAGGGGCTAATGCAGCTGGTGGCTTTAAGTTGAAGCCAGTGCTTGCTCACTGATCATTCCAAATGTCCTAGGGCCCTTAAAATTATGTTAAATCTATTCTGTCTGTGCTCTATCAGTGGAACAACAAATCCTGGATGACAGCACATTTGTTTACAACATGGTTTACTGAATATTTTAAGCCCACTATTGAGACCTGCTGCTCAGAGAAAAAGACTCTTTTCAAAATATTATTGCTCATTGGCAGTGTACCTGGTCACGCAAAAGCTTTGATAGAGGTGTACAAGGAGATTAATGTTGTTTCATGCCTACTAACACAACATGCATTCTGCAGCCCATGGATCAAGAAGTCATTTCAACATCCAAATCTTATTATTTAAGAAATATATGTCATAAGTCTAGAAGCTGTCATAGATAGTGATTCCTTTGATGGATCTGGGCAAAGTAAACTGAAAACTTTCTGGAAAGGATTCACGATTCTAGATTCTGTTAAGAACATCTGTGTTCATGGGAATAGGTAAAAATATTAACATTAACAGGAGTCTGAAAGAAGTTGATTCCAACCCTCACTGGTGACTTTAAGGAGTTCAGGGCTTCAGTGGAGGAAGTAGCTTCAGGTGTGGTGGAAATAGATGAGAGTGAGAATTAGAAGGGGGGCCTGAAGATGCGACTGAATTGCTGCAATCTCATCATAAAACTTGAATGGATAAGGAGTTGCTTCTTATGGATGAGTGGAGAAAGTGGTTTCTTGAGATGGAATCTACTGGCGAAGATGCTATGAAGATTGTTTTTTTTTTTTTTTTTGAAGATTGTTGAAATGACAATAAACAATTTAGATAGAATGTTACATAAACCTAGTTGATAAAGCAGTGGCAGGGTTTGAGAGAACTGACTCAAATTTTAAAATCAGCCCTACTACAGGTAAAATGCTATCAAACAGCATCACATGCTACAGAGAAATTATGAAAAGAAGAGTCAACTGATGTGTCAAACTTCATTGTTGTCTTATTTTTTAAATCACCACAACCACCCCAACCTTCAGCAACCAGCACCCTGATTAGTCAGCAGCCATAACATGGAGGCAAGACCCTCCACCAGAAAAAAGATTAGGACTCGCTGAAAGCTCATATGATGGTTAACATATTTTAAGCAATAAAGTATTTGTTAATTAAGGTATGTGCATTATTTTTTAAGACATAATGCTATTGCATATTTAATAGCCTATGGTATAGCGTAAACATAACTTTTATATGCACCAGGAAACCAAAAAATTCATTTGGCTTGCTTTATGCCAGTATTTGCTTTATTGCAATGGTCTGGAACCAAACCCATAATATCTCCAAGGTTTGCTTGTATTACCAGTGTAAGGTAGAAATCCAAAGAGGTGAGGTAATTCAGCAAGTTTTCTCCTTATGTATCTTAGAACATTCTAGCTAACAAGCTAGGAAACTATCTTCAAAGCCAAAATGCTTTACTGCCCCATCCACACTTTTCATTTTCTACCCAGATTCAGTCTGTCAGCAGTATAGTCTCATCAGTTGCTTTAGGTGTTGTTTCTTTTCAAACATTTATTTTAAGGGCTAAATTACATACACAGTAAGAAAAAAGAATAAAAATATGTGCCCAAAGAAAGCAGAAGGAAGGAATTAATAAAAATAAAAGTTGAAAATAATAAATGAGAAAACAACCCATAAAAATGATAAATTACTCCAGAAACAGTTCTTAGAGGGAAAATCAATAAGACAAATAAATCACTGGCTAGTTTAATCACAGGAAAAAACCCACAAATGAACTAAATCAGAAGTGATAAAGAAAATATAATCACAGCTACAGAAAAATAATTTTTAAGAATTATAACAGACTTCTTTGCACAACCCTAAGCTTATATTTTTGAAAATCTGATGGAAATTTGTGCATTTTAAGGAAAATATAAATTAATGAAATTGAATCAATAAGAAAGAAAATTTGAGTAAACCAGTCACCACAGAAATAAATAATGAGAGTTGTAATAAAATCATTCAGGTCTAAATGGTTTCAGAAGCAAATTCTTTCAAACCTTCAAAATCAAGGTAATTTCTATGTTGTTCAAACTGTACTCGAATCCAGAGAAAGATGGAAAACCCTCAAATATTTTTTGAAGGCACAATAATACTGATAGCACAGCTTAATAAAATAGTATAAAAATTAAGCCTAGAAAAAAGTCCCTTATGAAAACAGATGAGAAAGATCCTAAATGAAAACATTAGAAAATCAAATACACATACTTATATGTGGGAAATCGAGTTTATCCAAATATTAAAAAATGGGCATGACCAAGAATTTCTGTTCATTGAACTGGTGATTCAGTATTGCAAAATCAATTATTCCCAACATTCATATTAACTTGTAAAGGAAAAGATATGATCACAATATTCTAAAAAGTCATATTATAAAATCCACTACCTATTGGCTAAGAATTTTTTAATAAGCTAGAAGGATATTAAAAAGTATTTTTAAAATGGAGGAACATGTCATATTTCTAAATGAAAGTACCTGATATTAAAAAGTGATCAATTATCCCTCTAAATGACTCCATAAACTTATTCTAGGGAAAAAAGAAATGATAACTTTGGAATTTGGAAAAAATAAAAAAGGTAATTCTAAAATTCAAATGAAGTGTAATACTAATCAGCATTAAAAGGAATAGAGAAATAAGGAGTAAGTAAAGCTATGATGACCAAAATAGAGTAGTACTAGGGACACAATAATCACACAACATAATGGAACAGAGGTCCAGAACCAGTATGTATAACAAATTAGCATTGATGAAGGTGATTTAAAATCAATGCAAAAAAAATGGCTTACAACAAATCGCATTGGGATAATTATTTCACCATTTGGAAAAAAGAAAACACTAAAACTTAGAAAATCTTTTTTAAAAATCCCAGAGAGATTAAAGATAGGCTAAAAAATAAAATTGCAAATTTTCCACCAAATGTGGAAATCATATAAGAGATTTTGGTTCATTTGCATGTGAAAACATTTATATCTCAAGATAGAAATTGATACTAGAAGACAAATTGAACTGGGAAAAATGATTTGCAATGCTTATGATAATCATGAATACCCTAAATAGGAAAAAAATTCTCTCAAAACAATCAGAAAAAAAAACACATAAAAATGACTTTAAAAACCCCAGAAACAACTAAAAAATATATGAAAATATTTAGTATACTAATTATTAAGTAAATAGAAATTAAGATAACAATCATCATGTTTTTCCTAGCATATCAATAAATTTGATACAATATTACAATTAAAATTAATGTCCAGGACCAATTTTAATGTGGGAAATAGGCATATATCTTGAAGGAGGTGAACTACTATAACATTTCTGAAGAACAGTTTTGCAAAATATATCAAAAGCTTTTAAAAAGGCCCTTTGTCCTTGCAATTCCATTCTTAGAAACTTATCTTAAAAAAATAATCTGACAGGTTTATGCAAATGTGCTCATGGTTTAATCAGGAGAAAATTCACTTTTTGTAAGACCTGAAACTTACACATCTGGGAAGAGAGTTTTTAATAAAAAAATGCAAAATTATGAAAACAAAGTTAGTTACAAAATGAATATTTAGAAGGAGGAAAGCATAATATATTACAAACTTTTTAAAGTTGACAAATATCACAAACATTACAACATCCTCCCAAATAGCATAATATTTATATTCATTTTCCTAAATTTTTGACAGCATGTTTTTTGATTGCTTCTGCATGTGATTAAAATTTTTAATATTATTTTTCTATATGCATATGGAAAAATAGTTGTCTGCCCCAGCATGATCAATCAAAATCTGTTTTATATCATTGATGGTTAAAATGCATAATATAACTAACTCCACCGAGAGACATATTTCCTATTTGCAAAGCTGTACAGGTTTGTGTCCCACAAACGCAGGAATTCTGATCAATTCAATTTTGCATAATTCCCATCTAACAGTAATAAAAAAGAAAGAAAGAAAGCCTGGTGTATTTATCATTGTAGATGCTGCATTATTGCATACGCTCCTGACAGGAGAGAACTTCTGTTGTCACTAAGCATCTATGAAAACCAAATTTTACATATCTGATGATTAAAATTTTCCATAGCCTAGTATCTGGCTCCATACATTTCACACTTTATTTCTCCTCCACTGAGCATACTTCTAGGGCCACATACTATAGAACAAATTCATATTATAGTGTGTCCTCTGGCCTTGAACCTTTGTGTCAAGATGCTGAGTAAGTTGGGATAGTGGGTGAAAGAGTATTCAGGGAAGCCATTCTTATAACATAAGCCTACCAACAACTCAACTCTTCACAAAAGGGATTGAAAACCATATAACGTATCTTACTAAACTCAAACTAAATGCATCCTCAACTTGACTTCTTCCCTAGGTCCCAAAAATGTGGCCCCTCTAGCAACACTTGACAAACGGGGAAGTGTGACAGATAGGAAGCTGGAATGGAAAAAGAAAGTTGTCTCAAGTGAGTAGTATGAAAACATTTTATATTTGCTACCCTTAGAAGACTTTGTTCCTTCTCATTTCCTTTTGCAATTTTTTTCCCATCTGACCCTTACTTGTCATATTTCAAGGCCTGATCCTGGGACTTCCTATCCCACTCACTTCTTTCTAGAAAATCTTATCTGCAACACCAGGTTAAATTACTGTTTGCATCCCTATGAACTTCAGACTTGTACTTCTACTCCAGAATTTCCTTTGAGTCCTAGATCCAACTGTTAACTCAACATTTTCACTTAGATTATCTCAAAAACACGTCAAATGCCTTATCCAAGATAGAACTCACAACTGACCACCCTTGACAACTTATTTCTCTTCTGAGAGGAATGTGGTATCCTAGAAAACGTAACACCTTTCAAACAAGGGTTGAATACAAAAGCCCAGGTGTTATTTTCTATACCCAACACATTACCAAGTCTTATTGATTTTGCCTGTTAGTTCTCTCTTAACACTGTCTGTTTCCCTTCATCATTCCATCACTTCCTACTCTCTCACCTCCACCCCAATCCAAGCTACCCTCATGGCTTTTCCATGTCTTCCTACTGCCTAGAGGATGTGGCATTCAGAACCCTTCACAATCTGGCCCCAACACATTTTTTCTAGACTTATCTTCCATATTTCTTGTATGTCAGCCACAGTAGATTACTCATTCCTATGCATAACAAAGTTTTATACTTTGCCCTTTTCCATTATTATTCCCTCATTCTAGAATGCTTTTGCCCATTCTGTCCATGTGTTAAACTCTACTTATTTCACAAGACCCAGATCAAATATCATCTGGATGAAATCTTCCTGGACCTTTCCTTTTGCTCTACCATTTTCTGCCACTCTTTCCAAACAATCAGTACTCCATCATGTTTTTATAGGTCTGTACATACCACTAATATAGCAGTCCTACATTGTAGTTCATTTGTACCAATATCTATAATAGATAATGAATTGCTTGAGAGCAGAGAAAATGGCTTTGTGTCCTTCTGCCACTTGGTATAGAGCCTAGATTCAAGGTGGGACCTCAATATATGTTTCCACAGCATATCTTCAACTCTGTTACAAGTGAACACAGTCCCAACTGATTTGGCATAAGCAGAAATAAGAAATGTATCTGCTCATGTAATAAAAAGTACAGGGGTAAAACTAGCTGCAGCAGGTGCTGAAATAACCCTCATAAATGGTCATAAAATGGTCATAAAATGCTACTGTCTCTGTTCTCCTTCATGTGGGCTTCATTCTCAAGCAGCATAGTAACTCTAGACCATTATTCTAGATGAAATTTGAGCAGTATAGGGAGAGCGTCCTTTCCCTGACAGTTTGCACAAAAATACTGAGCCTGGCCTTCATTTACCAAACTGGATTACGTGATCATCATTGAACCAATCCTGGAGACCAAAGAAAACTAATCATTTGATAGGCGGGACCTGAGCCATATGCCTATCACTGAGCTTGGAGTGGAAATAAGGACTAAGAATAGGGCAGCTCTCTAGGGGAAAATCAAGGTCCTGCTACCAAAATGTTGAGGACTCAGTAAGCGTACACAAGTAGTTTATAAAATTCTTGGGGAAATTATCATTAACCTTCCTTTCAGACAGAATTCTCAGTGCTATATCATTTATTTGAAATTTCATAAAATTTGAAATCTGCCCTTAAAAATATTTCTAGGTTTTAAAAAAAAAATTGTGTTGATGTTTTTGAACATCTGGCATAATATCTAGCATAACATATGTGTTATGCACTAGGAGATGTATATTAAAAAATAAAAGAATGACTTAATAAATAACACAGTCTGTAGAAGAATGTATACAATATATAGAAAATGTCATACATAAATACATACATTAACCAGGACAAGAAATGGAGATCTGCTTTACCCTAAAGTGTAATTCATTATTTCACAAGTGACCAAAATAAAACACAACTTGTGTTTCCTTAAAGAAGAAAACTAGATTTCCCTCCCTCTTCTTTTTCTTTCCTCTTCCTTTAAAAGAAAAGTTCAGAAAATGGGCCATTGGTTTAAATTCTTGTCTTCACTTACTAAAGTCTGCTATAACATGATCACGTATGAACCCAAGTTGTATTTTGGATTTGTATCTATATGTTAATATATCTATATATATAATATATATAATATATATATAACATATATATTTTATAATATAAATATAACATTTATATCTATATGTTTGGATTTATATCTATATGCATATATTTATACGCATCAAGACAACAATCAAATCGGAGCCTGGGCAGGCAGATACTACAGAAATGCTAACTACCAAGTAGAGTTCTGTCTGAGCTAAAAGCAATAATGCTATTTGTTTTGGTCTTAAAGGGAAGAAATTTTCCTTACAAATATATCTAGCAGACCTACTCTACCAAGTAAGATTGATTTCATGACTGCTCTAATGCTTACCCAATGACCATGAGAGCTAGACGTGGCTGTCAGCTCAAGGAATTTATAAGATCCAATGTCAAATCCACAGAGAGTGAATCCCTTTATGCCAGTTAATATTTTATTCACTTCCCTATTCCTCTGAAACAGGGCACAAAGTATGATATAAAATTTTCTCAAAAAATAATTCATGATTTGATGTAAGTATACATACAAACACATATATATGTTTCTTTATGGTTTAATGTGTTTCTTCATATTCCATCTGCTATCAAGCCTCCTTTTAGGTACATTTCGTTACCAAGAGAGGTTTGAATGCCACTCTTCTCATGACATACAACAAGCAGGAAGCTTGGGGGAGGGGAGCAAAGTGTGTTGGAGGGGATGAAGAATCAACTTTTAGGTCATACCAACTTTTCTTGCTTTAAGAAAGAATAGGGGGGCAGCAAAAATTCTTTTTTTTTTTTCAAATTTTTAAGTTCTAGTTAGTTAACATATAGTATAATATTGGTTTCAGGAGTAGAATTTAGTGATTTATCACTTACATGTAACACCCAGGGCTCATTACAACAAGTGCCCTCCTTAATGCCCATCACCCATTTAGCACATCATTCACCCACCTCCCTCTATCAACTCTCAGTCTGTTCTATGTATTTAAGAGTCTCTTACAGGGGCGCCTGGGTGGCTTAGTCGGTTAAGCGTCAGACTTTCGCTTAGGTCATGATCTCGCGGTTCGTGGGTTTGAGACCCGCGTCGGGTTCTGTGCTGACTGCCAGCTCAGAGCCTGGAGCCTATTCTGGAGCCTATTTCAGATTCTGTGTCTCCCGCTCTCTCTGACCCTCCCCTGCTCACGCTCTCTCTCTCTCTCTCTCTCTCTCTCTCCTAGAAATAAATAAAAATATTAAGAAAAAAAGAAGAAAAAAAAAGTCTCTTATGGTTTGCTTCTCTCTCTCTCTCACTCTTTTCTTCCCCTCTTCCCATATGTTCATCTGTTTTGTTTCCTAAATTCCACCTATGAGCAAAATCATAGAACAGCAAAAATTCTTTCTGAGTCTATATCAATTTACAAAATTAATGGAGATAATAGAAACCAAAACAAACAAATCATTCCTATCACTGGAAGCATTATTTGTGTGAATTATATGTTACATAGCACTAATTTCATTTTGCCTACATATCGAACACAGCATTAATAAATAGCTTCAAGCTAACTTCAGAGTATCTTTTTCATTTTCTAGGGGGGAAAAAGAATGCTTGATTTATCTTCTGTACTTCTACTAAATATTTTTTAAAAGTTAAAAGGAACTCAAACATTCTTTTCTTCTTGGTTTCATGATACTTTAGGGAAAAGTTTGTAGCAAAATATTAGCTTCATATATTCCTGTTAGAAACACTCTTATGGTCTAAGAAGTAGACTGTATACCTAAGAGAATCAATTTAAGGCTTCAGTAAGAGCAACACTTTGATTCATTGATATGTAATTTAATATCTCCTCAGTGTTTGCATTATAATTCAGTGACTACAACCCCAATAAGCAAGTAGGAAATTAAGGTACTGAGAGTGAATAACTTTACACAGTAAAGTATGCTGTCCATGAAAAAGGAGAAAGACCAAGTTCCAGCTATTGATGTTTGAGCAGTTTGAAGAAAAGTAGTGGCCCTCAGAAATATTCCAAAGAGGAGCTGACAACTTCAGAGTATTCCACAGCTTATTATTGATTTTTTGAAGTCCATAATGTAATAGGGATAACATCTTATTCATTATTTATTAGTTCTCCTTTAGAGTTTTTTCCTCTACTCAGTCTACCTGTCCTCATCTTTTTGGACCTTTCTACTCAGAACTCCTGCCCACTATGAAGACATATAGGACTGGAACCTTTTGGTATTTTTTTTTTTTACTCCAACTCTGCAAGTCCTAATCAACTTTTACCTGCATCACCAGGAAAATCTCTTCGTGGGTTCATGTCCCTCCACTGACGTTTCCCTTCTCTCTGCCACCAATAATTCTCCAGATCTGATCATGTACTCTCCTGCACCTAATGCCACCAGGTCCAGGTACTCCTGGCCATTAACACTCTAGCCCCAACATTTACATATCTCACTCCGATCTTCTACTGACCCTCATACAACTGTCCCTGATCCACACCTATGAAATATGAAGCCAGACAATATTTCCCTTCCTGTTATTAATCTTTAAAAAGGCACTGCCATGATAGCTAATGGAACGTTCCAGGCCATCCTTTGCATTTGAAAAGTTTTTTCTTTCTTGGTTATTTATATCCATATTAGAAAATTTAGCCTTAATGAATAACCTGCCACTTCTGATACTTAAGTCAAATTAGCAAATATTTCTTAAATACCTAATCTTCAGCAGATTTTTTTTTCTGTGAGAATGTGAAGAGGATGAAAACATGTCTTTTAACCATTGAGATTATAGATGAGAACAAAATCCTCCAGAATACCAGACTGTTGGTTCACACTGTCAAAGATGAAATTGCTCTATAGATGGCTAGTAAGTGGCTTTTATTAAAGCATTAAGGGACACCTGGCTGGCTCAGTTGGTAAAGCATGCAACTCTTGATCTTGGGGCTGTGGGGTCAAGCTCCACACTGGGTGTAGAGATTACTTAAAAATGCACTGGCTGTTATGTGGAAACTAATTTGACAATAAACTATTTGTAAAAAAACAAAATAAAAATAAAAAAATAAAAAATAAAATAAAGATCCTGAAAAAAAAATGAAATCTTTAAAAAAAACATTGAAAGTTACATGTTAGACAGAGGGCCTCTAGAAAACCACATTTCCCATATTCTAATAAGTCCTTTACTGATAATACATCAGATTATTCATAAAAATGGGACAATAAAATAACTATTTAAGTATTTCAATCTTTGCATTAGTCTCTCCACCTTTGAAAGAGAAATACTAATAGTAACTAATTTCTTAAATTAAAGGAATAACTTAAAGATCTGGAGTTATGATTTAAAACGCTATAATACCAGGTTCATCATACATTATTACAGTGGGTTTTAAAAGAATATAAGAACTCTTACCATATGATCCAGCAATTACACTCTTTGGTATCTGCTCAGATTAAATGAAAACATGTCCAAACAAAAACTTTAACATGGACGTTTATGGCAGCTTTATTCGTAACTGCCAAAACTTGGAAGCAACCAAGATGCACTTCAAAAAATGAATGGATAAGCAAACTGTGGTACATTCAGACAGTGGAATTTTATTTAGTGATAAAAAGAAATGAGCTGTCAGGCCATGAAAAGACATGGAGGAACTTTTATGTGCATATTGTTAGGTAAAAGTAGCCATTCTAAAAGGCCATTTATTGTATGATTTCAACTGCATGGCATTCTAGAAAAGGTGAAACTATGGGAACAGTAAAAAGATCAGTGGTTGCTAGCAGTTGGGAGAGGCAGGGATGGACAGATGGAGCATGGGGGATTTTCAGGGCAGTGAAACAATTCTGTGTAATACTACAGTGGTGGAAACATGCCATTGTACATTTGTCAAAATCCATAGAATTTATGACACCAAGAGTGAACCCTAAAGTAAACTATAGACTCTAGGTGAAATGATGTGCCAAGTTATGTTTATCAGTTGTAACAAATGTACCATTTGGGTGCCGAGTGTTGATAATGGGGATAATGCATGTGTGGGGACAGGGGGATGTGAGAACTCCTTGTACTTTCTACTCAGTTTTGCTGTGAATGGAAAACTGCTCTTAAAACTAAAGTTGACTAATTTTTTAAAGGAACATAAGATAAAGGAGATACCATTTAGTAAATCTCATCTAATGAATACTTACAAAGCCACATGACAATCACTTGACAGAATGTCGAGATTTTAAGTTCTGTGATTCTAAGAATAAATTGTAGAAAATTATAATATAGGCTCAATATCTTCAGTTCCTGTATAAGTTCTGATCCTGACTGAACCAAAGAATTAACTTTGTTCCAAATAACAGAATAATCTAGAAATAATTTTAAAGTTATGTTGTCAACTTTTATGTTTCTCAAAATAAAAGCATAGGAGAACACTGAAAATCTAAGCTGTGTTTCCTTAGGTCAATGTGGAGGGATGAATAGTATTTAAAAAACAACAACAACAACAACAACAACAACAACAACAAAAACCAGCCTGCAGCAAAATGAAATCCTTTTTTTCTTCAGGAGACTTGTTGGCATTTTCAAGGAAATCTGACCATTGGATGTGGGGAAGACTAAGGTGACCCAACTGCTCTCAGTAAGTGTCACCAACCTGGGTTCTCATGGCCCATCCGTCTTCTCCATCCTCTCCCCAAGAGCGGTGGTCCCAGCCCACACGTCTTAGCTCCCTACCCTGCCTTTCCTGCTCATCCTCCATGGGGACTGCATACTCCGCAGTTTGGAGACCATATTTGAAAAGACCATTCTTTAATTCACTGAGACTCTTGATTTGCTGGACAAGATGTTCAGGAACACTGATTAGAGGTCAATAAGATCAAAACAAAATGGATATTTAGTAACTGCATTAACCTTGAGAAATGAAGACTGCTATACTTTAAATAACCTTATCTTGGAGTTGTATTTCAAAGATGGCATCAGTATTTTAAAGCCTGCTAGGATGAACTTGAAGCTTCATCTGTTCAAGGACAAGACTCTTGTTTCAGTTCATAATTCCTATGAGCAGCTTCTGTGGCGTGCTTTCTCTTTATTTTAACATACATATGCTTGATGTTCTTGTGTTTCTTTTACATTTAATCTCAATTAAATTACTTCAGGAGGTTGTATGTGGGTGGATCTGGGGGTGTCAGGAGAGTTAATTTTGTAGTTGAATAAATTCCCTTTAGAATTTTATAAAGCTTCCCGCCATCTCCCATCAAACTCTCAGCACAGAAATCACAGTGTACAGTGTTCCTTTTCCTCCAGCTTGCTTTTATGTGGGAAACTAAAGACAGCGATAGATTTGTAAATAGATAATTGCTATTTGAACAATAATCCCACTTTTGTACAAGTTATTTACTTAATAAACCAAAGTTCTAGGATAAATATGATTATAATCAACAAAATAGACTCCTTGACAAGAAATAGGAATGAATCACCATTTACAAGTTTGATAGAATAAGAGTGGGTTGTTCACTTTGTCAGTCGATGTATGTGGCTTGGCAGTTAATAGTTTAGATTTCTCTTTGCTCAATTTGAGGCTTATTCTTTGAGGTTTAAATCGATCAATTAATTATGTTCAATTCAATAGCTATCTCACAAAATTATTATATATTTGTGCTGCTAGACATAAAATGACTAGTGTTTCTGAAGCTAATTTTTCTGATAAATTTGAGATGTATTAGAGGCAAATTTACTGTTTGAATAAGTTCCTCAGTGCATGCAGTAGACAGCTCATATATGCTTATAAAGTGAAAGGCTTGCACCCAAGCAGGTGCGCAAGCTTGTATTAGCTGCACAATGCCTACCTTGCAGGTAATCAATAGCCATATCCAATACCTGGGTGAGTAGTCAATAAACTAAAACCAGATCAGGAAAGACAAAAAAATTAGTCTTGGCACAAGTCCCAGTACCTGTCCTAGGGAAGCCCAGGTCAAAGGCAGAAGCGGCAATCAAGTTAAAGGTAGAATACTGAATAACTACCAAACTCTGGGGCCCAACCCGTTCTCTATCTGGAAAGGAGATGCAAAGAAGAGTAGAAAGGGTAGGAAATCTCATTCCACAAGTATTCATAGGGAAGCTTCTACATGCACATTGGCCAATGCAAAGCCCAGAATCATTTTGGGAAGACTGAATAAAACACAAATGTTGGTTCCTCTGATTGCTTGACCTAAATCTCAAGGAGGATCCATAAACCAACTGGGACCTTGTAAGGATCCACAGAGGACTGGATTCTTAATTGGTCTGTGAAACTTAACTGAAAAAGTTCCAGAACCTGAACATCAAAGACAGCCCTGCACTGTGGCTTCTTCGCCATGGGCTAATTGACTCCCATGCTCTTCCCCATCAGGAAGACCTTTAGTTATTTTTTACTCAGATATTTTTACCCAGATGATGGGTACTATCTGCTAAAATCTTCATCTTTCTCTAAAATTGCTATTATTAATAAAAATGTTTCTCATTGTCTTATTCATCAGATACATATTTAAGTGCGAATCAGGCCTTCTGATAAAAATATTGATAAAACTCTCACCAAAAGACATTTTAAAACCTGTTTTGCTTAATCTGTGTAGACTTGTTCTGGTTAATTAAGCATGTTGTCTCTGTGAGTCTTTCTGCATTATTTAAGTTATTCATGGATTGCGCTTTTTACCACTTCCCATTGCCCCAACTCTTACGACCACTACTTATTTCTTAGGCAGCTAGGAGTTGGGAGTCCCTATTGTTGTTGGCAATCACTGGCTAGAACAGCTACAAATTTGATCAGGTTCAGAAAACCAGAGTAGCTTGGCGGTAGTGAATGAATGGTACTGTGAGGGACTGTTTTACTGTATTGATCTAGGTATCATATTTTCAAGGTAATGTTTTTGCTTTTGGTATCACCAAAATGGATCACCTTGGACTGGCATCTGAGCCGATGGCAAGTACAAGGTTGCATGTATTCACAGGCATGGGACAACAATTCAACAGGCTGTACCCAGAGATCTCATGAACCAACTGCTCCTCCACGCTTTCCACACTCAAGGCAGGGCCCCTGCCTCATCCCCTACTAGCCTGAGGCTGGGTCCTGAGACCCCCAGGAGAAGAGCAACCAGAGGCAGATCTGTTGTGGGGTCAGGGGAGTGGGGGGCAGCTGTTCAGGGTTATGCTGATGGAATGAGCTGGAGATGTAAAGCCAGAGGATTTGGGTTTGAGTTCTGGCCCTGAGTATAACACCTACCAGAAATGTGACATTTAGTAAGACTATTAACATTGGCTTAGAGGAGTAAAAAGGCTCTCAGTCCTACCTCCTTAATCTCAAGCAGATGTCAGAAAGACTAAATACCTAATTAGCTATCAATCTGCTCCGTTTTGTGTCTTAGAATGTAAAATACTTGTCCATATGTTGTCTTACCTTCACATATTTTCCTTTATTTTCTCCTAGCATGCTTTGAGCAATTCAGTTTCTTCTGTAGATATCCATGTATGGATCTTAACCTACTATCATTGGGAACCACAGAAAAAGATGGATGGGATGTCATTTGAGGAGTGTGAGGTTTTGACAGAAAAAAGGCAAGTACATATTTTCCTAGGCAGACTGAAGTTTGAAAAATATTAGTAAGTCTTGACCCATAATAAAGAATATTCTTTTACCAGTTGTTTTTCCCTTGCTCTCCCAGAACAAACTGTTAATGTTTTCTAAGCCCGGTCTATTTTCAGTTGGGTTGTATTTTGGCATTTGTGTGACAATGTCAGAGCCACAGCCTGTCATTTCACATTCTGCTAGTGACACCTGGATCTATTTTTTGTTCAGTTTCTAGAAAAAAAAAACAAAAAACTGTCACTCCACTTCTGTGGTTTGAAGCCAGGAGCAGAAAGCCATCTCTGTGCCCTTGGTACAATTTAAACAAAGCATTTTGTAACTCACTCCTTAATCACTTCTCTCCTGCTCACAGATCTCCCCTACTGTGGAAACATGCTGAGAAGAACATCTTCCTAAAGTGGCTCCATCTCAAACACCCTCTCATGGATTGGAGAATATTTGAAAAGTGCCTTGGATTGGAAATTTATTTATTTATCCCCAGGGTTTTTAAATTAAGAAATACATTTCTTAGATTCTTTTGTATTTTGAACACCACTCTGATATTCCTAGAAGCTGCAAGTTTCTGAGAGTTTGGACTGCTGGAGACCTCAAGAGCTAATTTTCAGGTCCCTAAACTACTTGTGAGGAATCTCTTTACATATACATAGGGAAGCTGTGAATGTCTTCACAGCACTCTAATTGGAGGGAATGTACATCATAGGTAGCCTGGGAGATCTTGCTCATGTCTGTGGACCCTCTTCCTTTGATTTGCAAAAGTGTCCCAATTTGGATGATAAGTTATATGGTCACCCTACCTCTTATGCACTTGGTTATATATGTCAACCCTGAAAGAAACATAAAAGACAAAAAATTGATTAAACACAGAAATCTAATAATAAAGCAAAAGTTTCATTGGCAAGGTGCGGCTCTTATAAAATTTACATACAAAGGATCTACTATTGCTTTCCACCTCTACTTTCCAAAAAGCTGTAATGGAGCAAGCAAAAGTAACACTTTAACTTTGCCTTGAGCTCCAAGATGAAGAGAAGATCCTGTACAGCCCAGACAGGAAGCAGATTCACCTCTCCCGCGGTAAAAGGGGTGCATACAGGAAATAGAGTAGTATAGATTTTTTTCTAAAAGCACCCCAACCACCCAAAGGACTTTAGCATTATCACTAGGTGCAATGAAAATGAGAAAAGTACATATGTGAAGACAGTCAACAATTACGAATTGTTAGCATTCATAGTGTTATACCCAGATCGCAGTATCCTGAACGACCAGAGACCACCGGGAGACCGAGTCACACATGCAAAGGCAAAGGGCTTTATTACGGGCTCGAGCTCGGGCTCACAGACTTTACCAGCGCAGTGGATCCGTGCTGTTAGCCCCCAACAAAGGCAGAGTAGGGTTTTTATGGGGTTTGTGACGGGGGAGTTACAGAAGTTGTGGCATGGGAACAGTGATCCAATCACAATTATTCAACATCATTAACAGCGGGTTTAACCATACATATTGTCTAGAGTATTCGTTACTTTTGGCGGGATCAATTACAACGTTTAGAGTACCTTTAAATTCAACCAATCATAGAGCGAGCCTAGGGTCTTGTTCAGCGACTAACGGGTTAACTTTAACATTAGGTAACAGGGTCCTATCTATAGTTTCTATCTATAGGCCTCTCCCTTAGTAATGTGGAGGGTGGTTGCTGGCCTTTCCTGATTGGGTGTTGCAAGAGTGGTTTCTCCTGCCTTGGGCAATGTGTAACTGCCTGATAGTTTCAGGGAAGCTGAAACTTAGGCCTGCTAGTTTAGAGGGGAAACTTAAAGCCTGTCATGGAGTCAGTTTGGTTTAGACTTGTGTCCTTACAATAGTCTTTTTCTTTAGCCTATAACCATAGAGGAAAATAGAAGAGAAGGAGTAACTGGAGAGGTTGGAAAATTTAGAGTGGAAAGGGGAAAAAAAAAAAAACATCACTATTAGGATGAAAAGAAAGGGAAAAGAAAGTTTGGGGGGAAGGTGGGAAGAGTAATACAAGCTGGGTTTGGAGTTGTTGAATGTGTGGGAGACAGAATTCAGGAGACATGGCACTGAGAATACCTGCAAAAACAGGAACAGAAATCCAAGCTAAAAGTGCCCTTTAAGCCAAGGGAAGATTTATCATCATACATAGAAATTCCAGAGCAAGGAAGCAGAGTCGATGAACTCAGATTCCAGTCTCTTCCAGGACTTCCAGCCTTGTGCTCTGCCCTCCATGTCAATTTAAATGTTTTGTCAACCAGCCAGTTCCTCCTGCTTTCCCCATGTTTCAGTAGAAGAAACTCTGTTTCTTCTCATGTGTCATTTTTTTAATCAGCGAGGAAAACCCTTTTCAGAAGATTCCCAGCTGTCTCTCCCCCATCTCACTGCCAGAATGGCATGTTATAACCATGCTAAAATCATTCCCTGACAAGAAAAATAGGACCAACATATGGCTTCGATCAATCATAATTCACCCTCCTGTGCTCAGGATGAGGCTTCCTTTCCCTGAAACTTATGGTCGTCAGGCATAGAGGGGAATTACTGTTAGTTAGAAAGGACAAAGAGAAATAAATAGGATTTGGTATGTGTTATGGGCTAAATTTTGTTTCCCCAAAACTTGTACGTTGATGTCTTAACCTCCAATACCTGAGAAAGTAAACATATTTAGTCTTTAAGAGGTAATTAACATAAAATGAAGTCAATGGGTGGGCTCTAATTCAAGGACTGTTGTCCTTAGAAGAAGATGAGGACAGAGATGAATAGAAAGGGAAGACCATATGGAGATGCAGGAAGAAGATGGTCATTTACACATCAAGGAAAGCAACCTCAGAATAAACAACCTGTCACCATCTTAATGTCAGACTTCTAGCCTCCAAAACTGTGAGAAAATAAATTTCTATCTTTTGAGGCATTCAGCCTGCGAAACTTTTGATGTGTCTGAGCTTAAGACACTATGCAACCAGGAGCGTCTGTAACAGGGGAAGAAATAGGAGATGGGAAGGAATTTTAAAGATTTTGCTAATCTAGACACTGTTTATCAACAACTGCTAACATCACAAAAGATAGAGAACCAGACATTATGTACCTTCTGATATAAATGTTCAACACTATAACCAAAAGAGCAATCTTTCCAAGGAAGGAAGGAAGGAAGGAAGGAAGGCAGGAAGGCAGGCAGGCAGGCAGGCAGGAAGGCAGGAAGGCTGAAGCTGAATTTAACCAAGACACTAGACTACCAGTTCACAAAAATAGAGAGGACAGAGGAACATGTTGTCATGGGGATACAATCAGTTAAATGCATATGGTGGGGAACTTTGTAAAATAAATATTCCCAGCTGGCAGTCTGAGGGACTACCCAGAACATGAGATTTTCAGTGCTAACACAGGGAAAGTTATGGGCAAACCAGGACAAGTTGGTCACCTTAGCCATCACATCAGCAAAAAAATTGCAAGAGGAAAAAAGAAATGGATAGGGAATCTATACTTGAGAAATATTTAAAGACATATCAGCTAATCATAATATGTGGATCTTATTTTGAACAAATTAATGAAATGGTAAAAACTTTCTGAGGCAAATGAATAGTTAATTTTTAGTATGATAATAGTATTTTTATGTTTTTTAATTTTTATTTGTTAATTAAAGATAATTAATATACAGTGTTATATTAATTTCAGGTGTACAATATAATGATTCAATAATTCTATACATTACTCAGTGCTCATCATGATAAGTGTACTCTAAATCTCCTTCACCTATTTCACCCATCCCTCCTTCTCCTTTTCCTCTGGCAACTATCAGTTTGTTTTCTATAGTTCAAGCCTGTTGTCTTTGTCTCTTCTTTTCTTTGTTCATTTGTTTTGTTTTTTTAAGTTCCACATATGAGTGAAATCAAATGGTATTGCTCTTTCTTTGACTGACTTAATTCCCCTAGCATTACACTCTCTAGTTCTATCCAAATTTTACAAATGGCAAGATTTCATTCTGTTTTATTGCTAAGTAATACTCCATTGAATATATATACCACATCTTTACCTATTCATCTACTGATGGACACTTGGGCTGCTTCCATAATTTGGCTATTATAAATAATGCTGCAATAAACATAAGGATGCATATATGTCTCCAAATTAATGTTTCCATTTTCATTGGGTAAATAACCAGTAGTGGAATTACTGGTTCATATGGTAATTCTACTTTTAATTTTTTGAGGAACCTCCATACTGTTTTCCACAGTGGCTGCACCAGCTTGCATTCCACCAACAGTGCAAGAGGGTTCCTTTTTCTCCACATCTTTGCCAACACTTCTTTCCTCTGTTTTTGATTTTAGACATTCTGATAAGTGTGAAGTGATATTTCATTGTGGTTTTGATTTCTACTTCCCTGATCATGATGGATGTTGAGCTCATCTTCATGTATCTGTTGGCCATCTGTATGTCTTCTTTGGAAAAATGTCTAATCATGTCTTCTGCTCATTTTTAATTGGGTTATTTGGGGTTTCTTGGTGTTGAGCTGTGTAAGCTCTTTATATATATTGGTTTTTAACTCTTATCAAATATGACATTTGCAAATATCTTCTCCACAAAAGACCCTGAATAGCCAAAGCAACCTTGAAAAAGAGGGGTGCCTCAGTGTCTCAGTTGGTTAAGCATCCAACCTCCTCTCATGTCATGATCTCATAGTTCATGGGTTCCAGCCCTGTGTCGGGCTCTGTGCTGACAGCTAAGAGCCTGGATCCTGCTTCAGATTCTGTGTCTCCCTCTCTCTCTGCCCCTATCTTGCTCACACTCTGTCTCTCAAAAATAAATAAAAATTAAAAATTTTTTAAAAAAGAAAAAAAAAGAGCAAAATTAGAGGTAACATAATCCCAGATTTCAAGATACACTACAAAGCTGCAGTAATCAAAACAGTATGATACTGGCAAAAACAGACACATAGATCCATAGAACAGGATAGAGAACCCAGAAATAA